TCTACCTCAGAAACAATAAGGGCATTGTGTTCCAGGTGAAAGACACGCTGCTTCTGGCAGAAAGGTCAGAAATGGGGCTCAATGCTGAGACGATAAGTGATGAATGAGGGATCGATACCCGACATATCAGAATGGGTCCAGGCAAATACATCATTGTGCTCGGTTAGGAGGGTTGTGAGGTCGACCTTGGCTTAGGAGGATAGTTGGCTGATGATCTTGGCTATTTTTGTTGGGTTGGTAGGGTCGATGGGGACTTCAACAAGTTCTTCCACTGGTTTCCCTCTGACTAACTCATCTTTGTCTCTGGCGTCGAGTCCTTCGATGATCATAGCCTCCTTCAGCTTGACCTCTTTGAGTGAAGTGACATAGCATTCTCTGGCCACTGTCTGCTCTCTCCTCACGGTGCCGACCCCGAGGTCGGTAGGAAATTTCATGGCGAAATGGTATGTGGATATGACAGCTTGAAAAGTGTTAAGGGCAGTTCGGGCGAGGATTATGTTATAGGCAGAAGGACAGTCGACGACAAGAAAGGTGAGTAATTTGGTAGTCTGCTGTGAATACTCACCGATGGTGATGAGAAGATTGATGGAGCCTATGGAGGTCACCTGGTCCCCCATGAAGCTGACCAGTGGGGTTTGAAGAGGGGATAATTTTTCTTCTCCAACCTGAGGTTGGCGATAGGCGTTCAGGAAGATGATGTCTGAAGAGCTGCCGTTATCGACGAGCGCCCGTCTAACTTTGTAATTGGACAAGAGGGCGGAGATGACGAGGGGTCTTCGTGAGGATAACGGATGCCTGTGCAGTCAGCCTTCGTAAAGGTGATGGGTTCCATCCACTGTTTGGGATGTTTGAGAGGGCGATCCAATGTCGCGACTTCTTTGTCGGCGCCCTGTTTGATTTTTCTGAGTTCGGCACACTGGGCCGAATGAGATGGTCCTCCTAATGCAAGCCCGCCAGCGATGACTCGAATCTCTCTGACTGGGGGAGCAAGATTGCTCAGGGGTCGGGGTTGTAATGGAGGTCTGTCGTTATCTCGGTTAGGTTGTGAGGATTGTCGGGGAGAGGTTTGTCGGCGGCGACCTCCGGCGGGTTCGGTCCTTGGCCGCTGTTTGGGGCAGGCTGCCGTGAACTGATTGAGACGACCTTGGCGTAATAGATTCTCCACCTGGTCTTTGAGGTTGACACATTCCTCAGTGTTGTAGCCATGGTTCTAATGGAAACGACAGTACTTAGATTGATCTCGCCGGCTGGAAGGAGGTCGTGAGGGTTGTGGCCATTTCAGGTTGTAGTCTCTCTGGATCTGGTTCAAGACTTGTTCCATGGGAGTATTAAGAGAAGTGTAGCGTTCGAACTAAGCAGGCGGATGGGCAGGTGTCGGTCAGTCGGCTCGAGCAGTTCGGTTGGTATACTGAGGTGTTTGCTGTGTATATTGGGTGGTTCTAGTTTCAAATTCCCCGCTGTTGGGGGCAGGCTGCCGTGAACTGACTGAGACGACCTTGGCGTAATAGATTCTCCACCTGGTCTTTGAGGTTGACACATTCCTCAGTGTTGTAGCCATGGTTCTAATGGAAACGGCAGTACTTAGATTGATCTCGCCGGCTGGAAGGAGGCCGTGAGGGTTGTGGCCATTTCAGGTTGTAGTCTCTCTAGATCTGGTTCAAGACTTGTTCCATGGGAGTATTAAGAGAAGTGTAGCGTTCGAACTAAGCAGGCGGATGGGCAGGTGTCGGTCAGTCGGCTCGAGCAGTTCGGTTGGTATACTGAGGTGTTTGCTGTGTATATTGGGTGGTTCTAGTTTCAAATTCCTTTCTCTTCCCTCTAGGGTTGAGTTTTTGTTGTAGGATCTTGGCGGGTGGCCAGATAATCTTCAGCGTTCATATATTTTTGGGCTTTGGAAATGAGGGTTTCCATAGAGGTTGGAGGGTTTTTGGAGAGGGAGAAAAGAAAATCAGATGATCGTAAACCAGCCATGAAAGCCGTGAGAATGACCTTGCCGTCGTTTTCTGCCACCTGTAAAGCTTCAGTGTTGAAATGGGTGACGAAGCTACGTAGCGACTACCTCTCCGTCTGACGAATGTTGAGGAGCTGAGTCGCTAGGCGCCGCTGGCGCTGGGCACCAATGAAATGGCTAAGAAATGAATCACTTAGGTATTAGAAAGAAGAGACGGAGTCCGTCGGCAGCTGACTAAACCACAGTCGGGCCGACCCCTTAAGCGTTATGGGGAATGCCCGACACATGATCTCATCAGGGAATACATGGAGGATCATTAGGGTCCTGTAAGTCTCCAAGTGGTCGACTGGGTCCGTTGTGCCATTGAAAGAGTCGATTTGAGGGCATTTTGAACTTAGAAGGTAGGGGTTTGTCCCTGATGGAGACGACAAACGGTGAATTGGCTGTTGTGGAGGGTTTATTCGACATGTTCTGCATGACTCCTTGAAGTTGGAGTTTCATGGCTCGGAGTTCCGCATCCCAAATAGGAACGTTGTTACCACCAGAATGCAATAGAGGCTGGACACTACTGGCCTCGCCCTCGGGAGCAGGTGCTTGGGCTGATGGATGTAGACCTCGAGGTGACGGGTTCATGTCTTAGGGTGGAGGTCGCAAACCCTCCAAGTTGGAGAGGTGAGCTTGTTGGAAGGGGTGGCTCGGGATTCGTTCCCGGTTAGGTGGGATATCTTGTGGTGATGGAGGAGACATAGGGAGGTCTCGCTGAAGCAAAGCATTGATCAAGGCTTAGTTTTGCTCGGCTAAACGGTTGATGCTGTTGGTGAGTTCTGTAAAATACTGAGGTAGATTGTTTGGGTTAGAAGGGTTGGCTTGGAGGTCGACAACGTTGTGTTGAGAAGCCATGGATCTCATTGTGACCATCCACCTTGGTGGGTGGGAAGAAGGAATTATCGGGAATGGGCCTCTGGAAACAATGAGCACAATTGTCACGCAGAGTGAAAGATTCCCACAGACGGCGCCAACTGATGATACTACTAGTCCTTGATGGATGGGTCGGGTTGATCCACGCCTCCCACACCATTTTCCGGTCGCTGGGCTCACTGGGATACCTGTACAAAAGTCCAACGAGGAACGGGAGTCCCCTAGCGAACCCTCCGACAAGCAAGTTAGAAGAGAGATTAATGGAATGTAGAGATAGGATGATGATAAAGAACTTAACATTCTTTTTGTCTTAGAAACCTGCTTATAACCTTTGTTCATCATTTCCTTGTCCACTCTAACCTGTCATGTTGGGCGAAAGTCTATGCTCTAGCTTGTCTTGTTCATGATGAGGTTGTTCTGTTCCGACGTGAAGAAGTCCAACGGGGAACGGGAGTCCCCTAGCGAACCCTCCGACAAGCAAGTTAGAAGAGAGATTAATGGAATGTAGAGATAGAATGATGATAAAGAACTTAACATTCTTTTTGTCTTAGAAACCTGCTTATAACCTTTGTTCATCATTTCCTTGTCCACTCTAACCTGTCATGTTGGGCGAAAGTCTATGCTCTAGCTTGTCTTGTTCATGATGAGGTTGTTCTGTTCCGACGTGAAGGGGTTATCGCATTAAATACTGTAGAGGACCTCATTAATGGCTGATGTGTGATGCAATAACTCTGCAGGATCTTTGTCTGCTCACGTGGTTGGTTCTTCTCTTGACAAGTGTTTAGATGCTATTGGTTCTTGGTACAACATTGGGTTCCAATAATGTTGGGTTTTAGTGCTTGAATCGTGCGTTGGGCTCTAAATGGTGGGGCTAAAAGCCCCCCTACAGGCTATGTCATATATATATATATATATATTTTGCCCCTTCAACTTTTTATTATGTGCCTCATTTTCTACCATTTTTTTATGGGGGAAAATTTGATTAAATATGGTTTTATTGGTTAGCTAAATATTATCTAATATGTTAATTAAAAAAATAAATAAAAAGATAAAATGGAGAGAAATGCATAAACTAGGGGAAAAAATATTTAAAATAGCTCTCTATATTTATTATCTTTTATACGTTTTATAATAGTAAAGTTAATAGGCATTCTGAACAAGTGCAAAACCCATTGGTCATTTGGGAAGTCAATTTTTTTTTTAGTGATTTTTTTAGATAAAATATGAAGTAAAAAAATAAATCACTTTGTTTGGTTTTAGAAAATTGAGCTCACTTTTTAAAAAATTGAATTTTTTATTTTATGTATTTTTTATTCAAAGATTTTAATATTTCAAGAATTTTTATTTTTATTTTTTAAATTCACCTAGCCTAAATACACTTAACAAGTATATTATTTATGAATTTTTTTAAAAAAAAAAATTCATCAAATTCAAAAAAAAATATGAAAAAGTACAAGAACTCAGTATATTTTTGTATTCTTATATTTATTGAAATTTTAAAAATATTTATTTACAAGTATTTTAGCTTTTAGGTGTATCTAAGTTTTGTGCATCTAGAAAGTAAAAAATATGTATATATATGTATAATATTTAAAAAAATCACTAAAAAATACGAAAGACCAAAAATTTCATTTAAAGAAAATCAATCAAAATCAAATAAGGTGATTCCAAGAATAATTGTTGATTTTTTATAAAAAAAATATTTAAAAAAAAATAGAATCAATGAAAAAAATTTGAATGAGTTGAATTTGATTTGACCTATTGGCTTTTAGGCTATCAACTATCCAAACGAGGTCTAACTTCATACCACACCAGCCCATGAAGAACTCATTGCACAACCCCATCTAAGGAGGCCTGGATTTGATCCAACCATCAAATTCGGCCTGACGATCCACGTCCATTTTGACAATACTTTTGACAATACGGTTAAAAGTGAATTTTTTTAATTTTTTATTTTTTTACATTTTTTTTAAATAATTAAAAAAAATTAAAAAAATACGATTAAAAGTGAAATTTTTAATTTTTTAAGGTTATATTATTTTTTTACATATTTTTTAAAAATAATTAAAAAAATCAATTTTTAACTAGGTTACAGTATCCAATGGGCCGAGGCCTATAATAATAGTATGTTGACCTCAGCCCACTCCTTCTTCTTCTTCCTCCATCTTCGTTAGGGTTTTTGCAGAGTTGAAAGTTTACAGGCATTCATCATCATCCGTAGAGTGAAAAGAGTAGTAATCTTCACCTTTTGTTACCTTCAATGGATTCTTCTTCTGTAAATTCTGCCCAACTTCAGCATTTAATCGATGTATGTTTCAATCTTCCATTGATGATATCAATAGTATATGCATTAACTTTTATGTGCTTTACTTCACATGTATAACAATGGATCCGAAAATCATCAAAATTATGCGTATTTGAATATACCTAACTGTATATATATATACACTATGTGCACACTCACATGAGTGTGCTTGAAATTTCCTTGTAACTTGAGATTGGCAGTTATAGATTGAATTGGCAGTTATAGAAGGGCCCGTGCTTGAATTGCAAATTACAGAAGGGTAATCTAGGAATAAAATTTTTGTGACGGAAAAATGTCACCACCAACTTAACCCTTTGGATTGTATAATAAAATAGATATATGTGGGTTTCACTTCTCTCACGTTGTCACCTCAACTTGAGAGATTGTTTGGGTTTGGTAAGCTAATTTTGGGAATGATTGCGGTAATATGAATGGTTCACTTTTTAAGACATGTTGAATATAACAGTCAGGCAAAAAATAAGATGATTAGACATCAATAGTTAATCATATTTATTTTTTTTTCAAATGGACGACAAATATAATTTTAAGAATATATCCATTTTTTTAATACAAATTTTTATGTAGGCCTAGGAAAAATCGGTTCCAAAGTAAGCTTACCAAGTTAACATGAGAGAAGTCGAACCCTATATATATAGGTTTTGTGCTTAGATATTCTTGTGTATATATGGAATCTATGAAGAATGGGTACTTCGAAAAACATGCCGTACTCATATCGGGTATTTACCGGTATATGATACCTCGTATGATACTTCTGCATACGTACCGGGTACATAAAACACGTATCTAAAATTTTTCTTCTTAATTTTTGGCGTACCCAGACGTACCTAGTATATACCCAACCCAAGTCGTACCGTACCATACCGTACCTCAGTTGAAACAATATTTTCTTCTACTACAAATATAAAACTCCTTTCACTAGATTTCTTTTTTATTTTTTGTTTTATACTTAGCATGATTTGAAAATTAAATTATGGTTTGTAAATTATTTAATATATTGACATTCAATTTTGATTTATACTTTTACTTTTGACATTAAATGCTAATTGTAGATTGGACCTTAACAAATTACATTACCAAACCAAACTAAACCAAACCAAACCAAACCAAGCTTTAAGTCCCATCAAATGAGGTCGGCTACATGAATCTTTCTTCTCCACGTGGCCCCTATCAAAGGCCATTTCGTTAGTCAAATTAAGTAGATCCATGTATCCATTTATAACGCTAACCAACGTTAATCTAGCTCATCCCCTAACACTTTCATCTACCGTTACAACATCGCATATCTTCACTACTGCCTCTGTTGGTCTTCGTTGAATATGACCAAGCCATCTCAATCGATTCTCTCTCAACTTATCTTCTATCGGTGCTACTCCTACCCATTCCCGAATACACTCATTCTTAATTCTGTCCTGTCTTGTCTAGTCTTGCCACACATCCACCTTAGCATTTTCATCTCAGCCACACTCATCTTATCTATATGTTGTTTCTTAGTTACCCAACAATCCATCCCATACAATATCGTTGGTCTAATAGCCGTTCTATAGAACTTACCTTTAAGTTTAGAGGGTATTTGTTTATCGCACAGCACCCCAGACGCACTTCTCCACTTACACACCATCCTGCCTTAATCCTATGGGCCACATCCGCATCAATCTCCTACACCAAGGATCTACCTTAATCCTTATCTTTTTGTTTTAGTTATGGATGAGTTGACGAGAAATATCCAAGATGACATGCCATGGTGTATGCTTTTTGCAGACAATATAGTGCTAGTGGATGAGACTAGAGAAGGAGTTAATACAAAGTTGGAGATTTGAAGAAAAACTCTTGAATCTAAAGGATTCCAGGTAAGTAGAACTAAAACAGAGTACATAAAGTGTAAATTTAGTAACAGTAACAATGAAAGCAGAGGAGAAGTGAAGATTGAGAACCAAGAACTGCCTAAGAGTGAATATTTTTATTATTTATGGTCGATTATCACAACACCTTACAGTGATAGAAAATTCATTTGTCTCTCTAGCAGGCGATTTAATAGTGGCTACCACCCCTTCATACATGTCCTTAATCACATCAATGTAATATTTTATCATCCTTTTCTTCGCTAACACCCACCATATTATATTCCGGGGCACTCCATCATATGCTTTCTCAAGGTCGATAAACACCATATGAATGTCTCTTTTCTTTTCTCTATACTTTTCTATTACACTCCTCAAAAGATAAATCGCTTCCATTGTTGACTTGTCAGGCATAAACCCAAATTGATTCTCTGACACCTCTGTTATATCTCACAATTGGCGTTCTATCACCCTCTCCCACACTTTCATTATATAACACATTAGTTTGATTCTTCTATAGTTGTTGCAATTCTAGACATCTCCTTTATTCTTATAGATTGGCACTAAAATACTCTTCCTCCAATCATCTGGCATGTTCCTAGTCAACAAAATTTTGCTAAATAATCTAGTCAACCAAGCAACTCCCATTTTACGCAAACACTTCCAAGCTTCAATAGGTATATCATCTGGTCCTAAAGCCTTATTTGATTTCATCTTCTGAAGTACAATCTCTATTTCAAAGTTCCTAATCCTGCGATAGAACCTATAGTCTTGGTTTATCGTACTGACTATTTCTTCCCCTATTGTCGGACCTCTATATTCCTCATTTAATAGTTTATCAAAATAGTTCTTCTATCTTTCCTTAATCTCTTCATCTCTCACCAATACCTTATAATTCTCACTCTTGATGCACTTAACTTGATTAAAATATCTTTTTTTCCACGCCCGTATCTTAGCAAGTTTGTATACCTTCTTCTCTCCCTCTTTATTATCTATTCTAGTGTATAGGTCATCAGAAGCTTTCAACTTAGCCTCTCTCACTACTTTCTTGACCTTCTTATTAGCCAAACTCTCTTAAGGTTTTCCTTAGTTTTATCATTTTGCCACTTTTTAAAGCACTCTTTTTTTGCTTTAACTACCGCTTGAATCTCTTCCCTCCACCACCAAGTTTCCTTAGAGCTGGGTCCCGTTCCTTTCAACTCTCCAAGCACTTCCCTTGTGATTCTTCTCATACAATTAACCATCGAGTTCCACATAGTGTTAGCATCATCTTCTAAGTCCCAAGTATCTTCCTTATCCATTATATTCTTAAATATTTATAATTTATCCCCTTTTAGGTCCCACCATCTCGTCTTACGACGCCCACCATCCTTCCTAGCTTGGTATTGCCCTTTAAAATATAAATCTAATACCAAAATCCTATGTTGAGAGGTCAGGTTCTCTCCAGGAATCACCTTACAATCATTGCATTTTAGGCAGTCAATTTTTCTCACTAAGAAGTAATCTATTTGGCTCTTAACTGACCCAATCTTAAAAGTTATCAAATGTTCCTCCCTCTTCTTATACATAATATTGGCCACCACCAGGTTAGAAGCTAACGCAAAATCTAAAATACTCTCTCCAGCCTCATTTCTGTCACTAAAATCGTATCCACCATGCACTCTTTCATAGCCTAGTTTATCTATGCCTACATGGCCATTAAAATCTCCACCTATAACCAGGTTCTCTCTTATGGGTATCTCTTGTAAGATCTCATCCATTTGCTCTCAAAAATCCCTCTTAGTCTGATCATCTAATCCTACTTGAGGGGCGTATGCACTAATAACGTTCACTATATTCCCTCCAATAACTAGTTTAACTAGTATAATCCTATCCCCTTTCCTAATGACCGCCACTACATTCTCCACAAGACTCTTGGCAATTAAGATTCCTATCCCATTCCCGCGTCTATCCTTACCACTATAATACAGTTTAAAATCGGTATCCTCAATTTCCCTAGCTTTCTCACCCGTCCACTAAGTTTCTTATACGCAAGCTATACTAACTCTCCTCCTAATCATAATATCTACCAACTCCATCATCTTACCAGTTAAAGTTCCTATATTCTAAGTGGCTACCCTAAACCTATAGTCTTGGACTAGTTTCTTTACCCGCGCTCATCCAGAAAAATGCGGGAACCTTTGTCCATTTTTCATTGCACCCAGGTGTCGATGCAGCGGCCCTTGCTCACTTTTCGAAACACCCAGTACCAGTGTTCATATCCGTACCCGTGCTTCATAGTATAGAATCATCAAATTTACATATTTTTCATTGACATGTCTTTTCTCTGAATTTATGATCCTTGGTGTCTGACAATCTACAGCTATAACATACTTTAAAACTCTGTAGTTCTGATAATGTTTGATTTGGTTGAAATGAATTTTCTGAAAAAAACAAAGGTTGATGCGATCCACTGCTATAACTAACTATACATTAAAACTCCACAGTTCCAGTAATGCTGGAATTTGTTGAAATAGAAAAATGAGTCAGACCCCCTTTGTGGAGGACCCCCACAACCCCCTTACTGATCTACACCATTCATGATGTGTGGGGCCCACTCATGTATGCGTGGGGTCCACATCATGAATGGTGTGGATCACAAAGGGGGTTGTGGGGGTCCTCCACAAAGGGGGTCTCTATCATTGCTGGTTGAAATAAATGGTCCAAAAATTTATTTAAAAAAATTATTGCAATGAGGTTTAGTTTTTAGCTTGTGATTTGAGTTTTTTGCATTTACTTCTGCTTGTTCTGCAAACTTCTGTTATTGGGGACAAATTAGTAGCCATTCAGCAAATTTGAGGGAGGGGAAATGGTAATTGGCACTTGGTAGTTAAATAGTAATATATTAGCACGGTATGACCTTTTGGTTGTCTGTAAAATCTCTGTTTCTTAAACATTGACAAATTAAGTTAATAGTTGTGCACGGCATGAGCTTATTTGCTTTAGCTATTTTCTTTTAATAGGTGCATCATTAATCTTTTATCTTTGTTGGATATTGTTTTCTCGAGTTGTTGCCTTAGGTCTTTACAAATTGGGTCTTAAGCTATGTTTTTTCTTTTTCAAATAAATATATGTTAATGACTGTTATTTTAGTTCGGAATGTTCCTAACATGTATATGGTGAAAAAAAAAAAGTAAAGAAAAGAAAGTTCTAGCTTGTTTATATTTCACCATATGACTCTTTGATTGGAGGACATGGTTTTTTAGGATCTCACCAAGAAATTTTGGGTCACAAAGCATTCTTCATGGTTTGTAATTTGTACTGATTCTTTGTTAAAGTTTGAAATGTTTCAATTCTTTATTTATGGTGTTTTTTTTTTTTTTTTGAAATACAAATTTGAGCTTATGTTGACTATTTTTGCGTACATCTAGCAGTAAGTTGTTTAAGATTGCAATTTTTTGTCGTTTTTTCCAAGTTTTGGTCATTAAATATGTGAAAAAGTGAGAAGTTGAAAAAAACAGATAGAGGATTCATAATGGGAGTTTAAGATAGCTGTTGAAGTAGTCATATATAGGGAAAATAATATACAAGAACAACATACTATCACTTTTCAAAAAATGTTTACCCTTGTATAGTTCTTAATTGTCTTCATGCCTTCACTTTTTTAGCTGAGACATATGTATGTCTACTGCTGTATGCTGTTTTTGTTGAACTGTTTCTTTTGTTTATATGAAAGTGCACTCTGTTTTAATGCTCATTTGTCAGTTATATTATATAAAATTTGAGGTCTACTCCTAAACCTACAAAATCCTAAACTTGGTCTTTTGACATATTGAAACATCGGCTATTTTCGTCTGTTGAGAACCAAATTGAGAAGTAGTAAAATTGGATGGGGAATATATGAAATGACTGAGACTCTTTATGCTCTTTGGTACACTAAATAAATACTTATGTTGAATGATCATAGTTGAAATTAGGATGCGGAGACAGATAAGTTTCAAGGATAGGAAGGTAATTTTGGAATGAATGCCTTTTTGAGAACTTAAAGAGTTAACAACCTCACATCTAGTGATGATAATGTTGGTCGTCTACTTGATTTGCACCATCTATGGCTTTTTAATTTTCAAATCCCGAGTCTACAAAAATCAGACACAAATAACCTAGTAGAAATTAAAACAACAGACAAAATGAACTTTGTTGCTATGGAATCATTGTACGGTTTGTTAATTTTGTGTGTTTTGGCTAGCTGAGAGCTGTTTCTTACCATTTTATGGTTCTAATTTCTGATTTCATGCAGCAAGAAAAGCATAAGGCAATTGCTAATGAAATGGTGGCAAAGCTTACAAGCGAATGCTGGGACAAATGCATCACTAGTACTCCTGGAAGCAAGTTCAGCTCCAGTGAATCGTCTTGTCTTTCCAACTGTGCTCAACGCTATATGGATATGTCTCTTATTATGATCAAACGCTTTCAGTCCATGAATTCCTCCATGCACTGAAGACCCCAACTACTAATCAATATTGTCTCTTATCTTCCACTAGGTTCATGTGGTCAGTCAATTTTCAGTTGAAAATGTTTTGTATTTGTGGTACTGCTACTTACTAAATGCCTTCTCTTGTAATCAATTTATTTTTAGTCCTCAGTTCTCATAGAAGTCTTTTATTATGGAGAATGGAAGCGGTTTGTGTTTTAGGTCGTGCTTGTATTAATGATTTGAGGGATTTGTTTAAGAGAAGGAAAGAGGGGAAAAATTTACCTCCTATTTCATTCATTTTTTTTTTTTTTTTCTGTCTTTTTCTTTTATCTTAATCTCTCTTCAAATTTAAGATCCAAACTTAGTCTTGATGTTTCCATGCAATTGGCTATGAAAAAGTTGGATCCAAACATAACTGTTTCACTGCAATTGCTATGAAAAACCGAGTTTGCTTCAAGAACCCTACCTATATGAAGCAATGAACTTCTCACATCACACAAACAAAATAGCAATAATCTTGTTGATCATACTAGTAGATACTCATTTTAAGAAGGGCAACATTACTAACATAGAAACGAAACACAAAATAGGTTCACACTTACATAGCTGTGGACTCTACACTGTGTAGACCCCACAAGTAAATGTCTGTTTTGACATAATCAAAAAAAAAAAACCTTGCAAAGCAGAGTTCTAATCTAAAAAAAAAAAAAGTTGAACTACATCTAAAAAAAAAGTCTTTTATTTGAAACAGAGTTCTAATCTATCTGTGAAAGGCAAAAAATTCTCAAAATCAGTTGTGAATGCATTTCTATCTTATCTGTTGAACTCCACAGTAAAAGGCAACTGGGGAACAACATAGGGGAATGCAACCTCAAACTTGTGTTCCTCTGAGTGATCTTGAATGGCTTCAATCTTCCCATTCTCAAAGTGGTATGAAACAATCCATCCAGGCACCCTCAAAAACACCACTGTCCTATCAAATTCATTGAAACACACCGGCTTCAACTGCAACAACCGTCCCATTTGTCCCATCCCGTTTTCAAACCTCAAATTCCCCATCAATCTTGTCAACACCTCCAAGTTTTTGCTCACCATTGACACCAAAGAAACCCTCCACATCACCACCCAACAGTCGCGCACTCTCACCCACACGTGAAGCATATATGCATCAGAAAACGCGTAAGAAAGCAATCCTTCGGACACGCCCAGTACCCCATATTTGATGACAACACGCTTGAACGGACGTTGGTTCCTGACATCCACACATGGTATCTCCAAAAACTTGAATTTCTCTTCTGTCACATCATAGGTGAGGATCGAGCCAAGCCCGTCAACCCAATGGAGCGACCCGTTCCACTGAATCGCAGGCCACATGTGCGAAAACAGGCAGTAAGGGGATGACAATTCCAGCTTCAACAACCTCCATTTACCTGACTCGGAAGAAAATGTTTCGACAAATGCAAAGGTGTTTCTGGCTGCTAAACCAGGGATTTTTATGACTTTGTAGTGACCGTACTTGCGGTCCACGAAGAACCCGGTTGAGTAGGAATCTGAGGGGCCTTTGGTTTCAGGAAGGATGGCAAATTTCCGGGTAATTGGATTGCAGATGTAGTAGCGAACCGGGCTGGGTTTCGTGCTGATGCAGAGGATGAGGCCATGTCGAGAGGCGAGCATTCGAACCGGGTTTGGAAAGAAACTGAGGGACTTGTCAATGCATTGAAAGACTCCCTTGTTGGGATTGGCATTGGCAAAGTTGACATGGTTGCATTGGTGGTGGTGATAGTAGAGGCCAATCAATTGATTTGGGTGGTCAGGTAATTGGGATCTGTATTTTTTATCGAAATCTGGATCGTTGATCAGGCGATATGATTGGGTGCTGACACATTTGAATCGGGAAAGGACGTCTGGTGGGACTCGGAGGAGGATATTGATGAGGACATCGTCACAGAGCTCTGCTGGTACTAATGATGATGATGATGATGATGATGATGATGATGACGATGAATGTGGAGTTGGAGGAAGAGAAGACTGATCCCCAAATATTCTCAGCCATTCCCAACACTTGAAAATCATCATCATTTTTTGTCATGCAAAAAAAAAGCGAGAGATTGAAGAATTCAAAGAAAAGAAAACTACAAAAGAGTGAGGAGTGAGAAGTGAGAGAGGATGTGTGTGATGATGATGTGTTAATAAGAAAATCTTATGTATAATGTGGAAAATCTGGTACTGTATTTTTTTAATCTGATTTTATTATTTTAAAAGTAAAATTTATATTTATCCACTTGCGGATAAGTATTTTTAACTAATTTTATAAACAGAAATGTATCCGCCATTGGTTCACCTTATGAGCAAAATGCGTTGGGTGTATTTTCTAAAAAATTGGTTTTTTATATTTTAGAATTTTTGTGCAATATTGATGTGGTAGTAAGTCTGTGCGCTGTGCGGTTTAAACGGTTTGAGTGTAAAATTATAAATCGAATGGTGAATTAGCGGATTGACAAGTTGTGATTTAGACGGTTTTGGATGGATTGACGGATTGAAAAATATTTTAATCAATTATCAAATATTTGCATAATATACAATACTGATTTGCATAATACTTTTCATATATATAACACAAACTAATTTTACATAATATTTTTCATATATATATAATTACTAATTTGTAACAAATTTCACATCTTAAATCTCTCTCACACTCTTTTTTTGTTTGATATTTCATTAGGTATTATATATTTATATATTAACCATGCAGAGCATAGCAGTTTCAAAAGCAGATTATAAAATTTAAAGTTTAATCCGTGGTTAGCAAATTGAACAGTTCGGATTGGTGCGAATCGATACTATTTTAATGAATTGAGCAGTATTTTACACAGCTCTATATGACAGTTATATAATAAAAAATATTAGTCATTTTAATGGGTCTTTTGCTTTAAATTGATAAAAGGTTTGCCATATCATTTTGTATTAATTTTCTATATATATATATATATATTTGTGTAACACTCCTCATTTTAAAATACCTATCACCAACTCATAAAAGTTGTTTTTCCTCTTTAAACTATAACATTACACTTTGTAAGGAATCTTTTTTAATTGTGCACTCAGATGTTCATTATTACAATTATCACAATCAAATCTTTTTCAGTTATAATTAAAAATAATGAGTCATAACCAAAATAAAATTTGTGGGAGGCAATTATAAGCTACAACAAAGCAAGACTAGAAGCTTAGGTCCAGAATAACGTCTCAACAAGTTCAAGAGACTTGTTGCCCACGATCTAGAGATTTAGGTCTAGGGAACCAGGATCTAGTACGAAAGGTTCAGGACTGGAAGTCTAGGACCAAAAATGAGGGTTCAAGTCTAGACACGTAGGGCCAAGACCAAAAGAACAAGAAGCGCGACCATGAGAAGTAGACTCAATTAAGACGTGTTCCTAAATTCTTGGTCCAACTAATTCCTTGAAAATTACGCCTAATAGAACATGATGCCTAAATAAATGAGGAAGACGTGAGGAGTGGGAGGAGGGCTAACAGCCCACAATGGTTAGTGGGAGTAGAGTATAAATACAAGTAACTTCAATGGTTAAGGTATACAATCAATTCTACCAGCACTCATATTTATTCATTCTGCTTCTTTATCTACTTGTTTACTAACTTAGGCATCGGAGTATTCCCAGACTGCTTCCCAGCTAGACCCTTCACCTTTTGTGAGTGTTTGTAAGTTTAAAAGAGTTCATCAGCTGCCAGAGCATCGCTGTAGCTAGGTGGTACAATTTTTATCCACCACAATAATCACAATAAGTCATTATCAATATTACAATAAGTCATATAAGTAAATACAAAACCAAATCCACAATATGTTATAACCAAATATCATAAATGTCATAATTGGAACATGTGGTGCACACTCAAAATGAATGGTGTATTATAGAATTTCTCTAATTTTTTTTTTCTCAAATTTGATTGGCAGATAAATGCATATATTTGGGATTTATTTTACAATAGGTCCAAAAGTGGCCCTTATAAAGAATTCCTCGTTAAAATAAATAAATTCACAATTAACTTAGAAAGATCAACTTGTTTATTTATCTATAAAAAGATTTTAAGAGAGTGACTTGTAACAAAGATTTTTATCCATTTTTCAAACACTCGTCTATTTATCCTTAAAAACATTTCAAAATCATTCTTGTTTATTTATCTATAAAAAGATTTTAAGAGAGTGACTTGTAACAAAGATTTTTATCCATTTTTCAAACACTCGTCTATTTATCCTTAAAAACATTTCAAAATCATTCTTGTTTATTTATCTATAAAAAGATTTTAAGAGAGTGACTTGTAACAAAGATTTTTATCCATTTTTCAAACACTCGTCTATTTATCAGGGCCAGGACCAAAGGAACAAGAAGCGCGACCTTGAGAAGTAGACTCAATTAAGACGTGTTCCTAAATTCTTGATCCAACTAATTCCTTGAAAATTACGCCTAATAGAACATGATGCCTAAATAAATGGGGAAGACGTGAGGAGTGGCAGGAGGGCTAACAGCCCACAATGGTTAGTGGGAGTAGAGTATAAATACAAGTAACTTCAATGGTTAAGGTATACAATCAATTCTACCAGCACTCATATTCATTCATTCTGCTTCTGTCTACTTGTTTATTAACTTAGGCATCGGAGTATTCCCAGACTGCTCCCCAGCTAGACCCTTCACCTTTTGTGAGTGTTTATAAGTTTCAAAGAGTTCATCAGCTGCCAGAGCATCGCTGTAGCTAGGTGGTACAATTTTTATCCACCACAATAATCACAATAAGTCAGTATCAATATTACAATAAGTCATATAAGTAAATACAAAACCAAATCCACAATATGTTATAACCAAATATCATAAATGTCATAATTGGAACATGTGGTGCACACTCAAAATGAATGGTGTATTATTGAATTTCTCTAATTATTTTTTTTTCTCAAATTTGATTGGCAGATAAATGCATATATTTGGGATTTATTTTACAATAGGTCCAAAAGTGGCCCTTGTAAAGAATTCCTCGTTAAAATAAATAAATTCACAATTAACTTAGAAAGATCAACTTGTTTATTTATCTATAAAAAGATTTTAAGAGAGTGACTTGTAACAAAGATTTTTATCCATTTTTCAAACACTCGTCTATTTATCCTTAAAAACATTTCAAAATCATTCTTGTTTATTTATCTATAAAAAGATTTCAAAATCATTCAATTTTAAGGTATAATGTTCAATCTCCTTTAGCATCTTTCTTAGAATGTGTAAATTGTCAAACAGTTGGATTGATCTTTATAATCATATGACTATTTTTTAAAAGAGGTTAATCAAATCAACAATGCTTAGTAGTCTAATTTTTCATGACTCGAATGTCTCAAAACAACATCATTTTAAGAGTAAAACAAAGTTATTTTTATACATTTATTATTTTAATACATTCATTCAAACCACACAAATTCGAGCTATCAACATTTTTCCAATCAAATAATGAAGTCCTCGTTAGTGGATCCAAATGTGTAGTTGAAGCATGTGGTATACATGGTCTAGTGCTCAAGATATTCCTCAAGATATTTGTGGGTCCATCCATGTCCCTATCAAAACAAAAGCAAGAACAGAGGGCGCCGTCTTCTTTTGTAGATAAAACTAACTGGGAGAGAGAGAATCATAAACCTTAGGATCAATTTTTGTTTCTTGTGTTTTTAAAAACAAAAACAATAAAATGTTCTAAAACACCCATCATGTTTGGACGAAAACACTAAATCTACAATAAAATAAAGCTAAAATATCTAAAGTAAATAAAAAATAAAAATCCCACAGATGCAACAAGGCCAAGGCTCTGCAATGGGGAGACAAGAAAAGTGAAACACAGAAGAGGCATCCATTCACACTTCAGAACCTATTAGTTTTACCACCTGTTCTGCCATCTATGAACTGCCACCCCTATCCACACACACACACACACACACAGAGGCAGGGACAGATCAAGCCCAGAATAAACAAAATGGAAGGAAAGCAAGCCAGATGAAGAAAAAAAAAAATTTATGGACAACGTTCATTCTCAGTCGAAATATCACCAAGCAACGGCATCATTGCCTTCCCATAATCATATACACACGATAATACACAGTAAATAATGTCAAAGACTGACAGCTGAAAAGCCCAATCCATCTCTTAAACCTTTTGTCATTTTGTTTTTGTATGTTTACATTGAGTTCATCATCTGTTATTGTCGATACCCTGTCAAGTTGCTGGTATTAACACCACTGATTCGGTTTGAATCCCCAACTTGGGATGCCATGGCAAGAACTTCAGGTGATATGTCCCAACTCCCACTTCTCCTTCCCCAACTGGATCGCCTTGGATGTAGGGTACCTCTCCCCTCTGCACCCTCAGTGGGAAGGTTCCTACTTAAATCTGGCGCAGGAGATGTATCAGATCCACCATCCTTGTCAACACCATCATCATTGCTGTACTGTCCTTCAAGTTCACCTTCATTGACAGCATTGTTGTCGTCCCAAATAGGTTTCCTTCCTGTTTCTATATCAGCCATGGATTTTCCTGTGTTTGGGCCAACAAAGCCTCCACCACCAACCACACGAGGTGGAATTCCAGGCTCCTTTGGTACCTTTGCTCTGAATTTGTTCTTGGATGGCGGAATACTGGTGCAGAAAATCTCTTTGAAATTGCTGATCACCCCCTTGTTGTATGGATTGGGACGTCCATCATATCGATATCTAAAGTTTTCATAAGTAGACTGCCAAAGCACATAAATTTTCTTTTTCAAAATTCTCATTTCAAGATCAATATTAATTTTGACTACATGGATTTAAAAATTCACTTATTTGGATCTCGAATTTATGGAGAGAATTGTGAAGGGATGCAAAAGTGAATAAAATATAAGCTACTTTTTTTTTTTTTTTTTTTTAAAACTTTTCATTCTCTTTCTTTTCCCTCCCCAAATTCCTCTACAAATCCAAAATCCAAACACAACACATTAGTAAAATGAAATGCTCTGCTACCTAGATGTGGATTGATACAGTAATTGGATGACCAAAGTAATGCTAAACTACAAAGGATGACAACATCACTTAGAAAGGGTAATGTGTACCTGGTTTGTACTTATGAGATAAAGATGAAAGACGGTCAGGCCACCCACAAACCAGACTGCTATAAAAGAGTATATTATTAGCACAATCGAAGCAGGAGTCTTAGTCATCGCTTTCCACAATGATGTTCTCTCACTATCCATGATCTTCCTGATGTAGACCCAGCAAAATGCAAACACATATATGCAAAGAAGAGTTGATGTGGAGACAAACAAGAAGAAGAACCGGTAATTCCTCTGCACCCAGAATGAACAGACAATTCAATTCAAAAACATCATCACTCTATCAATAATTGCTGTCAATGTGTTAATGTATGCAACAAGGAAAACAAAAATCATCAAACTAGAAGTTCATCAAACAGAATATAATGGATCTTCTACCACATTTTTAGACAAAATCAGCCATTGTATACACACATTCAAATTCTCAGCAAATGTACTAACATTCAGATATGTCTTCAGCAAAGTTCTTAGATATTACGAAGAACTTTGCTCATAAAACGAAAGCTAGAGAATAGCCAAATTAAGCTGAATGCCCATTCCATTTGTAGGTGGTCTATAGGGAAAACATAACAAATCCAGAATTAGCCACTTGAAGTCTTCCTTTGTTTTCCTATATATTTCTGTAGTGTCAATTTCACTTTTAGGTATTTCAATCTACATGCATTGTTTCCCTAAAATGCAATATTTTTCACCACTCAGCCCTAACATTACGGGGCCTAATGGTGACCTTGAACATCCAATGGTGGAACTATAACAAAGACTGAAAAGGCCCCCATATCTCACCCAGAAATATAGCAGGATCAAAATATATTATGAGCTACTTGACTGAAACAGGGTTTATCATAACCCTTTTTGTATCAAGAAGTTAGCAATTAGCTGTGTTTTGGCACAGACAAAATAATATACAACTTCCTTTATGAGGTTGTAATCTTGGACACAGACATTCACATCTCCGTCCTTGTTACTACATTATGTGAAAAAAAAATGTTGTTCATCTTGACCAATATGAATAGAATCAGAAGATAAACCATCAGCTAACCACCACAAAACACACAGAAAATAAAACGAAAAAAGATAGCTTCAAAAGTGGTCCAAAAGATCTTGGAAAGCAGGCTTCATAAACAGAACTAGTTCCATTATTTGCATCTAGATAACATGAAGGTGTTACTGAAAATAATAACCATTACCAATCCAATACACTGTCCGACCCAAGGGCAATGATGGTCAAACCGTTCCACACAGTTATTGCATATTGAACAGTGCGAGCAACGAGGAGGTCGATAAAGCATGCACGTATCACAATATTTGATCTTCACTGTTACTCCATTGACAATTATGTCCTTCGTGCGAAGTAAACGTGACTGAGGTGTTTGGCCAGGCCCAGTTTCGGAATTCCCATCATAACTTTCTGGCTCCGGAGGGTGAGCATTTCGAGGAATTATACCAGGATCTCTTCCAGAGGCCACTAGAAGAAGTAGCAAGTCCTGGAAAAACAAATGCATCCATCAAAACATAATTTGTGAGTAAGAAATTTTTATGTGTTGATCTTGCTATTCTGGTAGAGGACAACAGCATATATAACAATCAATCCCTATTCGTAAATTTTACATGTCAAAAGATGATTGCAGAATAGAGAGTAGCTCTATCGTTAGTGAAATCCCACCCTTAATATCACTAACTTGAAAAATAGCAAGAGAACTTGTCAAAATACATGCAACAATCAACTATGGGAGAGCAGTCCTTTCTTATAGACTCCATTGTTAAGAGTAAGTTTGCTAATCTAACAGAGGAAACACTATCATCGAAATGTGATTAATGCCCAGACATGTGCACCTGATATCAATGTCATGACACATGAGCCATATTTACCTTCTTCTTTTTTTTTCCCCTGAAATGGCACAGTTAATTTGCTACATGTGGTAGAAGTTGCAGCATATACAGATCACACTGTTTGTTAGCCTATCCCCAAATAGAAAAGCACATGCATGAAGAGATGATAGCAGAAATGCTCCTCAATGTGTTTCCTGTATGATGAATAGGCTTTCTTAAGAATGGTTTGATTCGAGGGATAGGGGTAGAGGATTTTGAACATTGAAGATATCCGTAGACAAAAAACTGCAACCTCTATGTTCAGCAATCAAAACATAAGTCTTTGGAAGTAAAATCTGCAATAAAGCCACTACGCTCTATGAATCACAGTATAGTGATTTACATTACATGGACTCGGATACGAGTGTCGGGTGCGGATATGTATAGTCGGACTCGGCAAACCTCTAAATGAGGGATACGCGGGTACGTCTAGAAAGTACCCAAAATTAGACACAAGTAGGTGGATACGGCTAAACATGGATGTGTCAAAAAAATATTATGCATTTTTTTGATAACATGGCAATTCTATTATAATTTCTCCTCAAACCACAAGTACCACACCCAATAATTGCTCTTCACCACACCAACCCACACCACACCCACTGATCACTGATATTTGAATTGGCATCCCATTGAAATATAAAAATTATTTTAGGCATAAAATAATTTATATTATATATGATTTTATTATTATTTTTTAAAAAAAATAGATGATTTATTATATATATATAATAAATAAAATAATAAATTATGTATATAATTATTTTATAATATAACTAATTTATATTATATATAATTTATTTTATATTATATAGTATAATTTATTTTGTTATCTGTTAAAAAGTGAGAAGATAAATCGACAAAGCCAGAGAGAGAAGAGAAGATTGAGCGACGAGAGAGAAGACAGAGAATACAGATCGAGAGAGGAGATGAAAAGGGAGATCGAGATTCAACGATTCTTCTCCCTCAGAGGTGCGATCGAGAAGAAGAGGGAAATCTCATCAAAGGCCCAATTCTTCTCCGATTCTTCCTTGGAAGCGCAGAATCGCGCTTCTTCCTCAAATTCGAGATGAGATTTGACGATTCTTGCTACTAAGCTCTAATCTCCATTTTCGTAGACCTAATTGCAAGTATGTCATCTTTTTTCCTACTTCCGTATGCCGTATTCATTTTCTTACTGCCATGTCCCAGTCAGATTCCATACCCCTACCCATGTCATGTCGTGTCAACACGGGTACTTCACCAAAAGTGACGAGTCCATGTAACATAGATAGGGATAACAATAACTGAAAAATATGACATCAACCTAAACGACCCATCTTGCCAAATATCAAGCATGAACATGGACTAATGGTTTTTTTTGGGTAAATTACACCCACGTCCTCCGAGGTTTGACAAAAATACAGTTAGCCCCACACTTTTGAAATAATTACATTGAACTCCCTTAAGGCCAAATCGACTGAAACTAATGCAAATGGTGACATTGAAATAAACAAAGATAAATATACATTTTCGTAAATAAGAGAAGATAACATCATTTTTTCATTCATACGATACGACTAACAAATTATTGATGAAAAATGATCTAATTGTTAGGGGTTGTTTGGGGTGTCCTAAATAAGTGTACTTTTTGTCTTTTTGAACTAAAAAGTTGAGAAAGAAAATATGGATGTTTGGGTTAACTTTTTTACTTTTTATGAAAAAATGTGTATTAAAATATTGTATAAATAAGTGTGTTAGAGAAGATAATTAATGAATCGGTACGGTTGGGCAGTGCCTTGGCTGAAAAGGATATGGGAAAAGATTGTCTACTTTTCGGCCTTTGATTGGACAGTTTTGTTCGGCTCATGGAGGCCCACCACGGGTCCCGTTTTTCTAATCGGAACCGTTCAATGTGTAGAACTCGTCGAGTACTATATTCTTGAAAAAAGATCATGTTCATTGGATATCGATAACTATCTGATCGTGTTAGTTTTTTTTGTCACATGTTAACTATAACACCATCCATTTTTTATACAAAACTGATTTGATCATGTAGTTAGTAATATCCAATAGACGTGATTTTTTACAAACATATAGTACTTGACGAGTTCTACACATTAAACGGTTCTGATTAGAAAAAAGAGACTCGTGGTGGGCCCCCACGGACCCAACTTTACCATCCAATATACACATGTAATATTTTTTATTTTTTCCTTTCACTCCTATGCGACAAGGTCTGTACATAGGCTGCTGTAGACATGATTGGTATTTAATATTATGTTTATTAATTTTTTTATATTTTTTTTTTGATGAATAGTGATAGCTTTTTAACTTTTTGACCTTTTGACCTTTTTTTTGAGTTGCCAAACTTGGCCTAAATTAAAACCTTAAGGGAGGTCAGTGTAATTATGTAAAAAATGTGGAGCGATCTGAATTTTTTCCAAATCACAAGGGAGATGAGTGTAATTGCCCCTTTTTTTATTAGTATTTTTTTTTTTTAATCAGATAGAAAATGCAGCCTTGTCAAGGCATGGGATCTCAGGAGGGGAAGGGTGTGTAAATATGGCTAGTGTGATTATATTATACAAATTGCTAGTTAAGAACCATACTATCTGTAGAAGAAAGGGGTTCAAAAAGTATTTTGGCCAACATTAAAAATTGTGAATCTTCATCTTTTTAGCATGTGTTAGCTAGTCAACACTAGCTTTAATAAATAAATTTGATTAGTTCTGCTTTAATGGGTTCATATGTTCTAAGGATCAAGTGTTATCTTTTTGGTTTGTGCTTTAAATGTTATTTTTTGATAATTTTTTTTTCTCCAGCTATTAGTGCCAATTATATGGCTTCATATAATATCTTCCACATAATTAATGAGTAACCCGAATAGAATTACTAAATTAGTATGTGGGTAATTTTGTGCAAGGGAATTTAATACTTGCATATTCCTGACAGTTGATGGAAGTGTTAGGAGACGGGACAGATATAGATTGATGTGAGCTAGTTTAGTAAATAAAAATACGAGTCTCCTTAATTTGACTAACGAGATGGCCTTGGATAGAGTCAAGTGAAGAAGAAGGATTCATGTAGCCAACCTCATTTGATAAGACTTAAGGCTTGGCTTGGTTTGGTTTGGTTTGGTTATGTTCTTGATAGTAAACTAGGCATTTCATGTTCTTGATAGTTGCTAAAGAAATCATAAACAGCTCATGCAAATTCAATAGATCAACTTACTTCCAGTGCATTGAAGAGTAAAAACAGAAAAAGGATGATTGAACGTAGTAACTGTGGATCCCTAAAAAATAAGTTTTACAAACATTGTTACAGATATGGCACGCTATGATTTGTAGGAGACTACTTGCCAACTGAATTTTAGCGTGACTGACGCATGAAGATACCACACTTGAGCCCACCAACTTTTGACACCCATATGCGAGCATACAAAATAGTCCACCTCTTCTTTAGCCAAAAACATAAAAGTAGTAAATGCATTTCTTCAAGAAACATATTATACAGTTACAAATTGCAACATTGTTTCACTGCTAATACTCTTTTCATGCAAACACATTAAGAATATAGTGAAAATATTAGTGTTTGCTTTGGTATATTCATAAACACACATAAATAGAGAAGGCACCTTTTCTCGATTTTAGTGAGTTTCTGTTCTAGACATCCTGCATCTACATCATAGATGGCATGCTTAACGCTAAGGTCTCAAAACATTTATATGAGGGAATTCATTATCCATTTGTATTTCATCATTACATCTTCACCCATAGTACACAAAAGAGATTTGGATGTGGGAAACAGTACAAGAAACTGAAGCAAGACGCATGGTTTTTTCATCCTAGATTTCGAACAAAGCTTCCTAGGGAAACATAGCTCACTCTCAAGCCAATTCTTGTGGCAACTATGTCTCTTTTTAGTGCACCTCCAAGGGACACCGCAAGCCACATCCCTCGATAAAGAGACTCAAGTTTGAATATCCTTAAATTATCCATAAAAAATAAATAAATAAATAAATCTTCTATTATTTTCATATTCATAAAGATGAAAAAATTAGGCAGCATGTGACTCGTAGAATTAGAGTGGGATGAATAAAATGGAGGAGTGCATCAAAAGAATTCTAATATGTTAAGGAAAAATCTTATAAGACTTGTTATAAGACCCACTATGATGTACAGTGTTCAAATGAAACATAATTGTGGCTGAAATGAGAATGCTAAAATGGATGAGGGTTGTTAAAAAAATAGGTAAAATAAGAAATGATTAATTAGGAAGAAGTTAAAAGCGACACTAACTAAAGATTAAAATTAAGGATGACCTAGTGCACACCTCGGAGTCTGAACATAAAATGCACAAAATATAAAAATTAAGTCATTTGAGATGGTTGATACTACACACACAGGTTTGAAGCAAGTTTAAGCTAATTTAGGGTTAGGTTTAGTGAAATAATACTAAGGCTTGTTTAGGGATTGGTAATGCAAGCTTTGGGCTTAAGGCAAAAAGAATTTGGTGGCAAAATAAAAACTATATATGGGCTGGAAATAATAATTTGTGAATAGTAACATAAGAGAAAATAAGAAGATGAAGAAAACTAAAAATCACTCCTAGAATCACTTAGGCATCACACCTAGGGTTTGGGCTGCATCACACAAACCCTATAGAGACTCAAGGCTCTAAAAATTATGTAAAATCTGATCTTTATTGAGTTAGAAGCAATACATAGCTTTACATAGAACTAGGGGACTTCCTTAACCAATTAGAACAAAAGAGAAAACTACTAAAATAAAAAAAGGAAACTACTAAAAAGCTTTAACTTCTAAAGCCTATTTAATATCAAATAAAATTCATAAACATATTAAACCAATACCAAGACCCATAGGTCAAAACAACGACCCATTATTGAGACCAAATCCATAAATTATGTAAATTACATAAATACCATTGACCCTAAAACATAAATATTGATAGAGGAAAGACTCAAAGCTAATTTATTCTAGTCCCAAGTGGGCCCGGCATCATCCAACACATGCCAAATCAAAACTTGAGCCTCAGAAGCATCTTTGCCACGCCATTTATAGACTTCACTTTAGCATTACGCTGCCACTTGTCTCCATCAATGGTATGTCATGTGCATCATAGATCAATGAATGCACCTGTGAGTACTGGTCTTATCCAAATTGAGGGTAGTAAAATAAATAAAAGCCAAGAAGAACATAATTTGAAGCAATGATTACATAATTGCCTTAAACTCAACTGAGGATAGAGTCAAATAAAGGAAAACGATCCGCATAGCTGAACCCAAGTTTGAGTTTTTTTTTTTTTTTTTTTTTTTTTTTTTTTTTTTTTTTCAATTTGTTTGACCTGGCAACCAACCACATCCCTATCAATCCAAATCTGGTAGATTGATATGATCGTCTAGTAAATTAGATTCATGGAAGAAACAAATCAATGCCTTAAAATAATGGATATTGGCATACTAAACCTATAATCTTATCTGCATCAAATCACATCGCTATATCTCATTTTTTGGAATAACAATGAGAAACAAAATTTGGCAAGATTAGAAACAATAAATGGTGTATGCCCATTACGTAAGTGTTCCAAATGTAAGCTACCTTTAAATCTGTCAGAAGTTTAAACAAGTTGTGTCAGACAGGATAACATGTTTTTTAAGTACATAAGTTCAGCAAAACAGTGTCTAAAAGATAGAAGCAATATATAGGATTGAGAAAAGGACTCACATAGAATGTCAAAACAACAATCACCACCATTATTAATATTCCCAAATGATCAGAGAAATCGTCCATCAGTTTTCTGGCAACAAAAACACAGAAAACAGTAACTGGGCCCACTATAAGGAAAATCGTTAGGAAAAGCGTTCGCACATCAGGTCCAAATATGAATCTTCCCTGAAGAAAAAATATCTGCACATTGGAATAACCAATTGTCAGATTGACAAAACAATGTATATGTGGCCATAAATATGCTTGTTCAGGGCAATGTCAGAAAAAATAAAAACAAAAACTTAAACTTAAAACTTCAAAATGCTAGCTTGGACAGCTTGATCATCATATAGGCTAAATCCAAAACCGATTTTCCCCATCAAAGGTAATAAACTCAATCTCCCATTAACATCCCATGTTGATAGTGGGCGGGAAACACTATCTACTTGTACCAAATACGTGATAAGTGCATTAAATTTCCTCCCTACTGGCGCAACAGAATTTTTTTTACAGCAAGATCACTACTGCAGTCTAAACTAGAAGCAAAAGTTGTGAAGCAAATTGATCATTATTTTATCAGTAATCAATAATGATATTTCTAGATAGCTCAATTGCCTACACTACATCTATATCAGTCTTCATCACTACTGTCAACTGATTAAACCAAACTGGAATTCACAACACAACAGAGCTGAAATCTTTAAAAAGAACAAAAAAAAAAATCTGATTTTTCCCCAAACAAAACCCTAATCTAATTATCTTAAACTCGAAACAAACAAGCATAATTCAAATTAACATTGATTGCCATAGCAACTACTTTAACACAAAAAGAGTTCATCACATCATTCAGATCTTGAAAACCCTAAATTTTACATCGAATCCAATTAAAATAAGCCTTACACATGAACAAAGACACACATGCAACTTACGTTGCTGGCTTTCCAGGTCTGGTAAGTACGGAGCTCCGCCGTGCCATCGGTGGCTCCGGCGGCGGAATTGGAGCTCTGAGGCGGAGGAGGCACCATATACATCTCTTTCTCTCTCGCTATTTTCTGTGTCTTTTAGTTTCTCTCTCTAGAGAGATAGAGAGAGAGCCCAATAAGGGCAGAGTGGGTGAATTGAATAATGAGAAAAGGCAAAGAAAGGCGGCTCTTTTTAGGGTGTGGGGTTTGACTAAAACAACCAACTGTTCGTCAGATTCCGGCTACCACCGTCAAGAGGTAGAACCAGTGATCGCTGGTCAAAGCCATGTCACTTTTTTAAGATTTGTAAAAATTCGATTTCCAAGTGGGGAATAATATGTACAAATAAAGAACGGACAGGTCGTGCAACGTCGTAGTAGTTGTACTTGTAAGCAGTGCAATATCGCCTAATTTGTTAAAATTGTATTAATTTGTACGGTTTTAATTGTTAATTGGGGTTTATATTTTAAAATTTATAATCCGGTAGTTGATTTATTCTGCTTCGCTATAATTAATACATATATATTTTTTAATTTTTAATGAAATGTTAATATAAAAATGAATATAAGAGAGATTTAAGATATGAAATTTATTATAAATTTCGTTTGGGAAGTGGGTTGACTATTTGACTTTTTATCTTTTTTGATTTGGGAAAGATTTTTTGACTTTTTTGAGTTTTTTATGAGAGAAAGAATATAATGATTATAGGTTAGATGTGATGTTTTGTCTTATTAGATTAAAATGTCTATTTTGTTTTTTGTAATTATTTTAGCCAAAAAATCCACAAAACCCACTTCCCAAACATAGATGTCGTTTGGGAAGTGGGTTGAATTTTTGGCTTTTTCGACTATTTTAGCCTAGGCTAAAAAGATTGGTTTGGGAAGGACTTTTTAATTTTTTTGTGAGAGAATAGTGTAATGATTATGGATTAGATGTGATGTTTTGTTTATTGTGGCTAAAATAGCCTATTTGTCTTTTGTGACTAAATTAATCAAAACCATCATCCCAAACGGGACAATAGGCATAAATTAGTGGTTATTACATATATGAAATATATTATGTAAAATTATTTTGTGTTATACATCTAAAAAATATTATACAAATTAGTGTTATATATTATGCAAATGTATAATAATTAGTTACAATATTCTTCAATCTGTGAAAAACCACAAAAATCACAATTTGTCAATCCGTTAATCTGTTAATCCGCAATTCGATTTATAATTTTACTCTCAAACCGACCGAACTACACCACGCGCACCCCTACTTGTAAGTAATGGTTAGCAGATAACAGTGTGAATTAGTGTGGATCAGTGTGATTTTAACGGATTAAATGATATTTTGTATAATCTTATTTTTACCTTTTATATTGTTTCATATTTTATTTTTTGAGTTTTATTTTAAACCTACATTGATAATTTAAACCGTTTATCTCGTAACCCTAACAATTTAGATGAGTTATAAAAAAAAAAAATTTAATTTCATCGAATATCATTAGATATATGAATAAATTGTACCTTATTTTTTTAAATGAACAGTAATTGTGAATTTAAACTTAAATTTTTTTATTCTATAAAATAAAAAGTAATTTGTTTATGCATTTATCAATATTCGATGAAATTGATTTTCTGCACTAATGATTTTCATTATAAGATTTATAAGATAAACGATTTTATTATTGGCCTACAATGAAAGTCTAAAACGTAAAATATAAAGAAATATAGAGAATAAGAATTTGGAGCCGTACCCAATAATTTTTTGTAATGGTAAGTGCCTAAATGTTAACAAGGTTTTAAAAGAGATGCGGCAAATTGTTTGACCTCAATCTTCATAAAAAAAATAAAATAAAAGAAAACAAAACAAAACAAAACAAAAAACAAAAAAACGAAAAGAAAAGTAGTTTAGTGTTTGCCGCGGAAGTGGTCAGTTTGCACAGTTGGGGGCTTAGTCAATAATTTAAAATGCATACACCATTGAATTTAAATTTAAATTTAAATTTTAAATTTATATTTTTATGAACTATGTAAATATTGTATTTGTTTCCTCAAATGAACAAAAAGATATTGGGGCTTTTGTTGGAACTTAAAAGAAGTTTATTATAATTTATTTCATTAGGGTAATTATACCCTAGTGAAAGTTATAAACAAAAAAAACAAAGGGTAAATTATAAATCCACATTATGAGTTTTGTTTAAAGTACGATTTATCCTCTGTAGTTTAAAAATTACATTTTATCCTTTGAAATTTTTAATTTCATAATAAATGATTCTTTTTATTGATAAATTATTAAGTTCATTAACAGTTTTAAATGATATAAGAAAATTATTTCAATTAATAATTCAGATAATTTTATTATTGTATTGAAGAGTAGTTAGGAATTTCACTTTTCCATTAATTCTGTTAAATAAAAAATTCTGACAATGGGATATTTGTAATTTTTCAAATCACAGAGGACAATCTGTATTTTAAGCAAACTTTATAAACGTGTTTGTAATTTACCTAAAAAAAACGTATTCATGAAAAAGTTCACACTTTAATTACTAATATTTATAAAGTTTTTCATTGATTTATAATTATTTTTTCAAAACTCGACTGATGTGCTATTTTTCCTATTTTAGTTTGTAGCGTGTGTTAGATTGTTTGGTGTAGTTTTTGTTTACAGTTTATTAAGTAGAAATAGTTTAAATAAGCTAAAAAAAATTTGATTATCTGAAAGTTAAGGGATATCTTTTGTTTTGTAATTATCAATTTTAAACTTATAATAAGATGCACCCGAAAATTATTCAGAACCAAGCAAGAAAAACGTATATAAGAAAAAATAATATAAGAGCAATATCGAAGTAGAACTATATTTTATTCTTGAAAAAAATATTTCTTTTTTTTCAATTGAGATTGGATAATGTTTTGAATCAAATAATGATCAATAATATCAAAATTTGATACACATTATTTATAACGATTCCGATTTTTCCTCTCATGTTTACTGTATTTCGGACTCGGTTCCGTTGATAGTTGTTGTTGTCTGTACTTCATTTTCGTCCTTTAACTCTTTGCATTTGAGTTTAGAATTGTCTTGGGTGTGTTTCAAACAAGTTGGTTGAGCTTTTGTCCCAACTCTTGTTGCCCAGATTTTTAGTGATCCGCTCGAGCGGGTATTCTTGCGCTCGAGCAGAGTTTGCATACCTTCAGTAGTTTGTCCATCTGCAAAAATACTGCAGATGTGTTTTTCACGCTCGAGCTGATTTCTTTACGCTCGAGCGGGTATCCTTACGCTCGAGCGGGTGTTCGATGTCTGTAAAAGTACTGGAAGAGTTTAATCTACGCTCGAGTGGGTTTTTCTTTGCGCTTAAGCGGGTGGAGTTTTGCAGTTGTGTCTTGGAGCTCGAGCGGGTCCAGTTTTTGTGTTTGACGCTCGAGCGTCCTATTCTCCGCTCGAGCGGGTCATACATATATCAGTTGGCAGCTGGGTCATTTTAGATCACTTTCTCAACTCTCACACTCTCTCTTACTTTTCAAAAACCTATTTTGAGAGCTTATCTCACTACATTTCACATTCTCTCTAAGGTTTGATCTGGTTCTAGTGTGTTTCTAGCCTTGTCCCTTTGTAAAAAGTGTAAAGCTTGGCTTGGACTATCTATCAATCCAAAAATCTTGGAGTTTGGAGCACTTTCGATTTTCTTCACCTCCTCTTTTTGAGCTTCGAATATGAGGTAGGGATAACTACTCATTTTTATGGTCTTTGATATAAACTTTTAGCCATTTTGATATGATGTTGAAGTTAGGTAACTATGGGTGTTAGGGTTTCAATTGTTTAAAGAGGGGTTTTGTTCTTTGAGACATTACATGTGTATTTTGTGTCTCAAGTGAGGTCATTATTGATATTCGAGCCTTTTGGTCAATGTTGAGAAAGATGGGAGAAAGCCCCAATTTTTGTTATGAATTAATTTATATAATTAATTTGGGAATGTTATGGAAATATGAAATTGAGTTGGGAATAATGAAATTGGCTCATTATGTAGTAGAATGGTGGAGTTGGACTTAATAATCACTCACCTTTGGGAATTATTGATAATTTATCTGCTGGTGCATTTATTATCTATTTAGAAATAACTGCTTTGGGCTATCGGGGGAGGATAGTCTTGATTGTTGTAGACACTGCATGATGATTAGGTGAATTAAAACTAATCAATTTAAGTATGTCATTGAGTATGACGATTGGAATAATACAACGAATATGTGTATTGATTGGTCATTGTATATGATGAGTATTTGAATACATGGGCGCCGAATCCCGCGGATGAAATTTTCGTAAAATAGCAATTCGAAAATAATTATATATGGGTGCCAAATCCCGCGGATGAAATTTCTATAAAATGGCAATTCGAAAATATCTATACATGGGTGTCGAGTCCCGCATATGAAATTTCCGTAAAATGGCCACAAGAAAATAATTACACATGGGTATCGAATCCCGCGGACACAATTTCCTTAAAATGTAAGTTTGGAGTATTGTTGGCATGAGATGTAGTCTCATCTAAGTTGTTTGGCCAAGTTCTGGGCCGTGTTTATAAGTTGAGAATTGGATAAGTAAAGGATTATGGAACTAGATTATACTGTATGTCGGTTTATATGAGTTAAACATTTATCAAGTGCTAATATTTTAGTTATTGCTCATATTATGTTTAGCATATCTCTATTGGGCGTTAGCTCACCCTATTTGGGACATCATTTTCAGGTGCAGGTGGCATGCCACCTCCAAGGACGTAGCTTGGGAGGCTTAGTGGCTGAGAGACCTTTTTGATTACTTTTTATATTACATGTATATCAAGCTAAGGGCTTATTTTGTGTAGAGTTAGTACTCTCCTTTTTGTAACCAAGTGTTGACTTGAAAAGTTGTAAGCCCGTAGGGTATTTACTTTTGTTGTCAACATGTAATACATTCTGTAAGAATACTCTGATTTATGAAATGTGATATCTCTTTCTTGTATCATGGATGTCTATTTTTGGGTTTATTTTGAGGGCGTTACAACTTGGTATCAGAGCGTACCGGATTCGGACACTTTGGGTACGCGGGAAGTGATTAGTATCACAATTTGTTCGTCTCGTTTGTTAGAGACTTATGTATGACATTATGTGTTTATTTGACAACATGTTTATGTGATGTCTCGCTTGTTAGAGACTTAGATGTAGTGTTATGTGCTTATGTGATAACATGTTTATGTGGCTATATGGGTATGGGATTTAGTTTCTAAGATGTTGATTGGATCCTTGGGTTTCTGTGAGTCTTGTTAGAAAAGCACTTGATTAATGCTGTTTCTAACCAAAA